AACACTGTACCATAGGAAAGTACAATAGTTACGTGTACGCAAAGTGGTTGAATGTTATCGAATGCGGTAGAGCGCGTGTGTTGAGCAGTGAGTAAATAAAGCAGAACTTGAATACTGTTACAATGTCTGTCCACGAAGGCGTTGGGTATTTTCATTGCCAAATATCATATTCGTATGTGAGAGGGGAGAACAAAAATGTAATATAAACATTGCGAAAATATGGGAAATGAAATTAGAATAAAAGTACGTAAAGGGGTTGGATGTTATCAATGTAAAATATCAAAAGCAGAAACGTGTGGAGGAAAATATAACAAAAATGATACGCAATTACAAACGTATGAGCAATGGGGTTAAATATCAAAATAGATGTGAGTAAAAGAAAACTTGTTTGAAAATTAGTGAAAAAAAGGGAAAAGATACTATCGTTGGAGAACAACAAATGTAATAAATTGTTTGGAGTCGTTTTAAGGAAGAAATTAATAAATAATAAAGCATAGATTCAATCAGCCAATATTTTCACATACATACAGCACGATATGAGAAGAAAGAGAACATATACTGCAACATAGTCACAGTACTATTTACTGCTCATGGAAAGCGCAGATGTTATCATTACGAAACAATGAACAAAAAAGGTGTTACAAAAAGTGTTTTACAGTCGCCGTTGAAGTGGATGGAAAGAAAACCCGAAATAAAACATTCACAATAGCTGTTCAAGGGAAAGTTTGCACGTTAGAGATGAAACTGCAAAAATGTCAAATGAGAGTGAATAAAAAGCAAATAACACACATTCACAACAAATACAGAAACGCACAGACGTCCACATACCAATGTTGTCATCTCTGTCAAATGAATATCAAATGGAATCACACATTTACGTTGTTCAAGTTGCAGCTTATGTGCACAGCGGATATCTTAATCTTTAATCTGTTGGAGGAGATTCTAAATTTTGCTTGGCTCTCGGTGTGCAAGACAAAGACAATTTCATAATCAGTTCTGCTGTTCTCGGAATTTAAATAAAAATAAAAGGTTAAAGTATCCTGTGGGAAGAAAGCAGTGTAAAAAAAAGACAAATAACAGTACGGTAAAGATAATAAACAATACCGGAATAAATCATAATATTCTTCCCATTCTAACTTCTTAATGATTAAAATATTAATCACCCAACCGAGAAAAGCACACAATAGAATAACATCCAAAAAAGATGAATAAAAAGGACCATGAAGAAAGGTGGAAAAAAAGAAAAATGAAAGACTTGAAGAACCCTCATCTAAACTGCATTATCTCTGGAGAGGGTTCTCGAGCAGTTTCCCAGACCCTCAATCTGGCTTCATCTCCTGACTCTCTACCTGGATGCGGCCGTCGAAGGAGGGGGGGGGGGGGGCGGAGGTGGAGAAGGATGAGGAAGAGGAGTAGAAGGAGGGGAAGGAAGTAGAGGAGGAGGAGGGGAAAGAGGTGGAGGAGAAGGAAGAGGGGAAGGAGGTGGAGGTGGAGGAAGAGGGGAAGGAAGTGGAGGAGGAGAAGAAGGAAGGGAAGGAGTAGGAAGAGAAGGAGGATGAGGAGTAGAATGATGGAGGAGGGAAATGAAATGGAGACAAGGAGGGGTAGGAGGTGGAGGAGGATGAAGGAGAGAAGGAGGTGGAGAAGGAGGATGAAGAGTAAAAGAAGGTGGGGAGAGAGGTGGAGTAGGAGAAGAAGAAAAATTGGAAGGAGGTGTAGGAGGAGGAGGTGGTGGAGGTGGAGAAGGTGGTGGAACAATAGGAGGCAGATGTGGGATGAAAGGAGGAGGAGACGGAGGTGTATATATAGGAGAAAGAGAAGGTCTTAGAGGAAGAGGAGGAGGAGGAGGAGGATGGATAGATTANACTTCTCTGGCTCCTTCCACCATCAAGATCAAGATCATTGCTCCTCCCGAGCGTAAATACTCCGTCTGGATCGGCGGTTCCATCCTGGCCTCCCTGTCCACCTTCCAGCAGATGTGGATCACCAAGGATGAGTACGAAGAGTCCGGCCCCGGCATCGTCCACCGCAAGTGCTTCTAAATATTATATTTTTTATATACATTGTCTAAACATCTACGAAAATATAAACATACTCCTCAGGAACTTATGCTAATTTGATTGAATCCATAAAAAAAGCGGAGAAATCATGATGATTTCTTCAAGGTTGTCTTGTCAAGTTGCTTGCTATAATCACCGAAAGAGTAATTCAGTAATTTGATCACGTTATATAAATTTTCAAAATAGTGCACTGGCATGTGAAATAAATATGTTAATGCCTTTGAGTTTTATAAAAGCAAGACTTGAGATTTATAAAACGCAAAATAGTAAAACGTAGAAGAAAAACAATTATGGCTAAATCCCAAAAATGAAAAGATGGTAAAACAAATTATACATCCAGTTTACCTATTGAAAAGTATGAATGCTTCTAATGCTGTCTTCACTTCCTTTTATAGAAGGAAGTGAAAATGAACACTAGACAGTAATAATCAGTAATTTTCAAATAAGGTGAGGTTTTCAGATATTGAATTTGATTTCCTGATTCTTTACAGTAATAGGATTCAGGTTGTACATATCAGTTACGAAATATTGGAATAAAGGATATTAGAGAAGTCACTGCTATGTAGATGAAGAATACGTATCATGATTCATTTTTTTCTAGTTGCTTTTTCATTCAGTAAAATGGATGCATAAGCACTTTGTGAACATAAAGACTCAACCTCTCTCTCTCTCTCTGTCACTCTCTATATCTCTGTCTCTCTCTCTTTCTTTCTTACTCCCTCTCTCTCTATGTGTGTGTGTGTGTGTGTGTGCAAACGAAATGAAGCCGAGATCATCTGAATTGTCTTAAGCTAAATCAAGAGCTTTGGATTTTTTTTCATAATTTTTGCGTATTAATGACTCTCCATTTTAAAACATCTGCGGGCGGTCTTTCTGGTAGTGAGTTTATGTTATGCCAAAAAACAATATTGTTTACGGTATGCTGATATGCAGTGGGGAATAATGACTTGACCAAATATCAAACGAAGCAAGATTTCGAGTTGGTTTTCGTGTCACTCTTGTTTTGCCTTGAGGTGTGGATATTGTTAAGGATAAACAATCGCAATAATGCTTACAGTACGTTCACACATGCGCGCGCGCACACACACACACACACAACAGGCCCGAGTTTGGAATATCGGGAAGTTTCTCGGCAGCCTGTCTTGTTAATTGGGCGCTGATCTGTCTTTTTAACGTCTTTTGAACGGAACGCCTAGGTGGAGCTCCATAACCTGTCCAAACACACACAAACAAATAAACGCATGTACATGCAGATTTCACTTTGTTTTTGCTATCACACTGCATTAAGGAAGTTATTTCATCATCTTGAAGTCTCACCTGATCACGCGCCAGATGATGCTGAAAGATCTGAGCTAACTCAGCTCTCGAAAAAGATTTTTCCCCAATACTCATGTAAATGATAAGCATTTGTAATATGTGATTTATATTTAACTGCTAATATTCCACAGTCAAGGAATGGATCAACACACACATACGCATACATACATACATAAATATACACACATATTTATGTGCAAACACACACACACATAAACCTATACATACGAACGAACACACACACATATGTGTGTATGTGAGTGAATGTGTTTGCACTCACATAAATCCATACATATCTGTATTTATGGTATTATATTATATATAATATATATATATATATATATATATATAATATATATATAATATATATATATACATATATATATATATATATATATATATATATATATATATATCTTTATTTATCTATATGTACATATATATATATATATATATATATATATATATATATATATATATATATATATGGTGTGTGTGTGTGTGTGTGTGTGTGTGTGTGTGTGTGTGTGTGTGTAAGTACAGACACATACGTACACAACACACATATCATAGTAAGCATACTTTGGAAATCAAATTTGGAACTCAAATCAAAACAGCACACTAATCAGGAAAATTTTGTGAAATAGGAAAATGTCATAGTATGCATACAAACAAAGATATACTAAAATGATTTGCAATGAAAACAGATAAATATGTATATATATATATGTATATATATACATATATAATACATATATATATATATATATATAATATATATATATATATATATATATATATATATATATAATATATGTATGTATAAATCTCTCTCTCTTCTCTCTCTCTCTCTCTCTCTCTCTATATATATATATATATATATATATATATATATATATATATATATATATATATGTATATATATATATATATATATATATATATATATAACACACACACGTGTGTCTATACACCCATAAACGTGTATATAAAAATAAATGAATATATAAAACACATACATAACTCATATACATGTACGTACATGTACACATATGTATATGAATATATATATATATATATATATATATATATATATATATATATTATATATATATATATATGTACACACATACACACACATGTATGTCTATACACCCATAAACGTGTATATAAAATTAAATAAATATATAAACACTCATACATTAACGTATATGAATGTATACATGCACACACATATGTGTGTGTGTGTGTTTGTTTTAACGTTTGTATTTAGATATATATGCATGTATATATATTTATAATGTCAATATATATATATATATATATATATATATATATATATATATATATATATATATAGATAGATATGTATGTGTGTGGGGGCATGTATGTGCGGGTACGTCAACAGTCACAAAAATACCTGTGTATATTCGTAAATATTCCGCATAAGGTTTGCCGCCAATAAAAACATCATAGTTTATATTCTGTAATCAAAAAATACAAAGTTACAAATACAGGTAAATACATGAACATACACATAAACGGATCTTATATTCCAGGGTCTGCTACTTTTCACGTGTACTTCTAATTAGATTTTTTTTTCTATGGAATCAAAGCAAACTATGTTATCGTCACATTTATTACGACATGTTTATACTTTGATATATACTAAAATGTGTTACATTGGATAATGCTTTAGAAGCACTTGCGGTGGACGATGCCGGGGCCGGACTCTTCGTACTCGTCCTTGGTGATCCACATCTGCTGGAAGGTGGACAGGGAGGCCAGGATGGAACCGCCGATCCAGACGGAGTATTTACGCTCGGGAGGAGCAATGATCTTGATCTTGATGGTGGAAGGAGCCAGAGAAGTGATTTCCTTCTGCATGCGGTCAGCAATACCAGGGTACATGGTAGAACCACCAGACATGACAATGTTAGCGAATAGATCCTTCCTCAGATCGATGTCGCACCTCATGATGGAGCTGTGGACGGTCTCGTGAACACCAGCAGATTCCATACCCAGGAAGGAAGGCTGGAACAGGGACTCGGGGCAACGGAAACGCTCGTTGCCGATGGTGATGACCTGGCCGTCAGGGAGCTCGTAGGATTTCTCGAGAGAAGATGAAGCAGCTGCAATATTCA